TATATATATATAGTGTATAGAGTGTGATATATATATAGTGTATAGTGTATAGAGTGTGATATATATATATATATAGTGTATAGAGTGTGAGATATATATATATAGTGTATAGAGTGTGATATATATAGTGTATAGTGTATAGAGTGTGAGATATATATATATAGTGTATAGAGTGTGATATATATAGTGTATAGTGTATAGAGTGTGATATATATATATATATAGTGTATAGTGTGAGATATATATATATATATAGTGTATAGTGTGTGATATATATATATATAGTGTATAGAGTGTGAGATATATATATAGTGTATAGAGTGTGAGATATATATATAGTGTATAGAGTGTGATATATATATAGTGTATAGAGTGTGATATATATATAGTGTATAGTGTATAGAGTGTGATATATATATATAGTGTATAGAGTGTGAGATATATATATATATAGTGTATAGAGTGTGAGATATATATATATATAGTGTATAGAGTGTGAGATATATATATAGTGTATAGAGTGTGAGATATATATATATATATATATATAGTGTATAGAGTGTGATATATATATATATAGTGTATAGAGTGTGATATATATATATATATAGTGTATAGAGTGTGATATATATATATAGTGTATAGAGTGTGATATATATATATATAGTGTATAGAGTGTGAGATATATATATAGTGTATAGAGTGTGATATATATATATATATATAGTGTATAGAGTGTGAGATATATATATAGTGTATAGAGTGTGATATATATATATATATAGTGTATAGAGTGTGAGATATATATATAGTGTATAGAGTGTGATATATATATAGTGTATAGAGTGTGATATATATATATATAGTGTATAGAGTGTGATATATATATATAGTGTATAGAGTGTGATATATATATATATATATATATATATATATATATATATTACAATTAGTGTGACTAGCGAACTGTTATATAAACCATTGTGGGGATAGACCATAACAAGGGCTGAGAAACATGAAACAAGATC